AACAACTTTATTGTGGTATAATTGACAAACAATGGCCCATATTTAAAGCATACAATTTGATAAGTTTTGACGGAAGTTTACACCTGTGAAAACATCACCACAATCAAGATAATGACATATCCATCACCCCCAACATTTCTGCCCCTTCCTGTCCTGATCTGTCCCTACCCCACCACGAACAACTCAAGTTTCAGTGTAACCATTCTTTCCATCAGCATTCCAGTAGACTTATTTTATAGGCTAGAATACGATCTCTAAAGGCCCTTTCTGATGTTATCTTAACCCAATTCACTGCAAATATTCACCATTAAGAGTCACTCTGTAGAACCTGTCAATTTGCTCAGTCTTAAGCCTTTGAGAACACTTTAATTTTTCTATAAATCCGAGTTGAATGTGCTGCTGAGAAGGAAAAGCTGGAGCCCCAGGGCCTATGGTTCACTCCACCATCATTAATGTTTACATCCACCTTTCAGATCTCCTTTTTGATGAAGAGGAAGGAGCGGTTTCCACAAGGGGCACCTCTGTTCAGAGCATTGAACTGGTCCTCCCACCCCACGCAAACCATCACGGAAATACATTCGGTGGCCAGATTATGGCTTGGATGGAGACGGTGGCTACTATTTCTGCAAGGTTCTTGGTTTTGACCTTCGGCATATGATTTTGGGACCAGTGAGGAGAAAATAGAAAGGGACTGAGATCCAGTTCTTGGGCTACTCAAGAAGTCAAGGAAAAGACTGAGGAAAATGTTGCCTTTTATAATGATTTCTAAATCATTTACTTGCTTACTTTAGGATTAATCTGTCCTTTTGTTTGAAGGTGAATGTTTAAATATTTGGTTCAAAAATAAAAATGAGATGACAGTTTTAATACTTTATTCTGAATTATGAATATTGATCTTATGAAACTGCAACTCGTTGTCTTGATAGCTTATGACAAAGTAAATGCAGAATAGAACTAGAAGACAGGCTTCACAGTTAAAAATAATCAGTCTAGGTTGGGCATGGTGGCTCACACCTATAATCCCAGCACTTTGGGAGGCCAAGACAGGAAGATTGCTTGATGCCAGGAGTTCAAGACAAGCTTGGGCAACATGGCAAGACCCTGACTCTACAAAAAAATGTGCTGGTGTGGTGGTGTGCACCTATAGTCCCAGCTAGTTGGGAGGCAGAAGTGAGAGGATCACTTGAGCCCAGGGATTCAAAGCTGCAGTGAGCTATGATCACGCCACTACACTCCAGCCTCTCTATAAATAAATAAGTAAATAAATAAAGTCAGTCAGTTACAAACCTTTTCAAAGACAATTTACAGTTAGGTCTGACTTTAAAAGGTGCTGGTTAAAAATAATTATGGCCAAAGAATTAACTGAAAAATAGGAAAAGAAGGAACAGAATATTTAGAATACTTTTTTGGTTTTTTTGTGTGTTTTTTTTTGTTTTTGAGACGGAGTCTCGCTCTGTCGCCCAGGCTGGAGTGCAGTGGCGCAATCTCTGCTCACTGCAAGCTTCTCCCTCCTGGGTTCACGCCATTCTCC